AATCAGCAATAGACGATAAAATAAAAGTAACTGATTATAGAATCGGGAAAGCAAACAAAACCTCAAGTAAAGTTTGAAGCGTACATATTTTAGATGGAAAGGTATTGATAAAAGAAGTAGTACGTGTTCGCTCACCCCTCCATATTACTGAACTGCTCAAGTTTGTGGCTCCATTTTCTATCATATATTTCCAGGCAATAAATTCTCGGTTAAATGTGATTCAAGCGTATTCTTTTCACTAATAAGGTTTGGTTGTACCTTCAAGATCATTACTAACCTGTTAAACACACAAAAAATAAGACTAATTCACTTTTCATAAGAGAATTTGAGTGTGGCTCCATATTACTGCATATCACCCTGGCCTGGCCCCAATTTCTCCGTGGCCCGGCCCCAATTTCTCTGTGGCCTGGCCCCGATTTCTCCGTGGCCTGGCCCGGATTTCTCCGTGGCCTGGCCCCATTTCAGTGGCCTGGTCCCAAAGCCACAAAAAAGTGACCACTCCCTCTCCGCGACCGAGCTTCGACAGTCAAGCGTAGGGAAACAGCAGCGAGGCGCGACAATGGATGTTTCCCCGAGAATCCATTTCCTTATTTATTTCCGTAACAAGTACAAATCAGCAATAAGTTAACAAAGACGTAACAATTAGAATTTGTGCTGCCGGTCAGACACTTCTTTCGCTCAGACAAATATTCAAGCGTGGTTGTAAATATTGCCCTTTTTGGTAGTTTTGCGTGTTATTCAACAGTTTCTAGTTGTGTTTCCAAGAATAGTTGTAATTCAAATAATTTAGTAGGCATTGTGTTTTCAGAGGACCTTCGGTTTAGTTACAATAATCAAAAGTTGATACCGTGATATTCTACGATACACTAGCCTGAAATTAGCTAGCATAGCTTTAAGCGGCACGAGGTTCATTGTTTTGCATAAAAATGATAGTTTTGAACATGTGAGCCAGTTTGTAAGAACGAACTCCCCGAAACAGTCTCTAAATCAGCATTCATTTTTTTGAAATGATAAAGTATAGGAAGAAGCTTCCAGGGGTCAAGGGTCGGGGAAACGTCCATAAAATAAAAAATGCAGAAAAATATGTTTTACAAATGTTGGAAAATTAACTGCTAAAATGATTCAAAACCCCAATAAAACAAGAGAGCTTTGCTCAAATATATGAACACGTCACAAGGTGTCGCTATTTTTTATTCTGACATCTAAAAAACGAATCTCTAGGAGTCTACAAGAATTTTTGAAGTGAAAGTAATAGCCTTCTGGCGAAAAAAATCAATCTTTGACCTGAAAATTTCAAAGCAATTGGTTCAGTATTCGAAGAGAAAAGCGATTTTATGGTAACGAAAAAGATGAATGTCAACAAGAACAACAACATAATATTGAAATGATCGTTAATGAAATTGTTTGCGTTGATTTCCTGGAGTAAAAAGAAAGTAGTTGATTATGTTAAAGCTCCTCGCAGTAAGCAACGTCACAACTAGGTTGTAATTTATTTGAATGGGCAATGCCCCTAACATCAACACCAAAACGTCAAACTCAACATCCGGTAAATACCGGATAAGTAGACGTGGAAGGAAGAGTTTCCGGGTGTAAGCCATCAAATTCTCCGATAAGATCAACCCGCTTTTCAAGCCGACTCCATGGCTCCCCCTTGACTGCGTTAATTTAGCTGTGCGGGGAATGTAATACTTAAAAAAGAGTTGCTGTAACCAGTTCTCTGTTTCTAGCTGAATACCAAAACGTGTAAAGAAGAGTTTCTACGGTGAAACCACTAAATTTTCGAATAAGACCTCGGTGCTTTTCAAACAAGCTCCATGGCTGACTCATAACCACTAACAGGGGTGGTGATTCGTCTACGGCCCATACAATTGGGCCCCATCAGGTAAAAAATTCAATTATCTTACCAAAATTTTCAATTTTCACAAAATTGTAAATATTCGAACCAAAAAAAAAATCGTGGGATGCCACCAAATTTTTTTCTTACGATAAGCCTTCATATACAAATAAAGCAAAATACCAAGCTACAGAAAAGGATACTCCTGTAGTATGTGTACCAGGTTAGAGTTAGGACAAAAATTTTGTTCAGATTTTTCACATTATAGTTCTATTATGAGTTCGGGGACTGTCTGTGTTAGCCAAGTGAATAGTCCCTTTGCACAACTTGATGGGCCGCGACCCATAGCCTGATGGGCCGAGGCCTAATTCGACGGGCCGTGGCCCCGGCCCATGAGCTATAGAGGAGTCACCACTCCCACTCCATAACCAGGGCCGATTTGAACAATGAGAGGTTCTAGGCTAGGGGTTCCCAACCTTCCAAAAATTAAGGAAGAGTTTTCCTTCTGCAAAAGCATGCCAAGCACTACTGCGGCATTAAATGTAAAAACTATTGTGAACTCATTTTTGGAATGAACTGGCAAACATATTTGCACTGACGGTGGCTGACGTCAGGAGAGGCATTGTCTTTTTCCTGACGGAAGAATTGCACCACGTACACTCTTCCCGCTGCTCGTTACACCGGTAAGCCCTTGCAAAAATACTCATTATCCGCTGTTGCATTAGGTTTTCACAATTTACAGCATTGCTGTATTGGTATAAGTTCCACACATTTCTGTTTATGAATTTTCCTTGAATCATGGAACAAAAGGATAATGTTTTTCGACGAAAACTTCCTATATGAAAATGCAAAAACGGCCAAATCACCAACTGGTTACAGTAAGTTTTCAACGTCTGAAAAAGATCCTTCGCTCTCCACAACATCTCAGCTTGATTCATCCATGAACATGCAACAACTGCAACTTCACAGCCTCAATGACATTCTTCAATCCAGGGAAGACTTATTTAAAAAATGCTCAACTTTATTGAAGCTGCAGTCAATATGAAGCTTGAAGAACTACTACCATCATATCTGGTCGAGCAGACCCAAAATATAAAAAATATGTCAACCAATCTTTAAATGATATTAAAACAACTCAGACTAATTTCAACAAATGACGAACAAAAGATAAGGAATCATAAAACTTGAAGCACAGATGTTAAAACAGATAGCTGCAATCACAAGAAGAACTTGAAAATGTAGCTGAAACCCAAGAACATTCTGAACAATATCGTGGGCTCCAAAATCTTGAAATCGGTGGATTACCATTTCAAAAGAACGAAAACACAAAAAGATATTGCCTATGGTCTAAAATTCGTGAAATAATTGGTAATTCTTCAAAGGAAAACAATCTACCCCCTTTTATTATAAGTGATGATAAGAAAATTTTTGATGGTAATGGCATCTGTGACGCCCTGAATCAACATTTCTTAAGAGTCGGTCCAGACTCCAGAGCTTGCATAAAATAAGTACAGCTGTGAATAATCACATGCATACTCATGGGCCAATCAA